GCTGTGAAGGTTCAGGTCTTGCTGCTGGGTCGGGCACTCCGGAGGTGGACCAAACTATAGAATTTCACAGCAAAAACCATAGACTAAAATAGTTGAGCTGTCTTTTATAGACACTCTTCTACCTGCTTTCGATTCATCTCACTGTATCGTTTGCAACCCATAGACAATTGATTATCCTAAATGGCCAAATAGTCAGATAGAATATTTCAATTTCTAGGAATCTAATTAATATAGTAAAGTGCAATTTGCTATAGTTGTTAGATTTCATAATTTCGCGATCGTTCGTTATAATATTCGTGCGCTAATTATCTTCTGTTTTAGGTTTAGGTTTTTATATATTATTTGTTTATGTTCTGTTTCAGGTTGCTAATCAAATTATTTTCTTTCAGCTTTTATTAATATTATTATTTTCTTTCAGATGTTTATGTGTGTCTACCCTTCCCTGTTTGTCCCTTCCTGAAACTTCCTTTTGTTTCTGTTATCCCCAGGGTGTGTGCGGTCGCGCACGGTTCTCGTTCGATAATGGGAACCGTGGCTTCCATGCGACTGCACTTCCCGGGTGCGAAGGTGATGGTGTGCGTTCCTCTCTACGGACGCGCCACACCAGGTACCATTTCATGCGTAATGCATAGAATCCGATTTGGTGCAAGACCGTTACATTACCTTCCCGTGGTGCACCTGTTAAAGTGCTCAAAGCTGGACGACTCTATTTTATATTTCCTACAATAATTTCAAATGGCCCCAGCTTTGATTACAACTAAACATGTAACGGATCGCAAGTAATCTTTTCTTTTTTAGCAATAAGAAGTAAGGAACTTGCAAATAAAAGGTAACATAGATGTAACAATGCTTACCTTAATTTAACACCTCTTTCTTCAATTTCCATGGTCTTCTTCTCGATGGCCGTGGTTTTGGCGAGGCGCCCGGTGACATCGGGAACGTTCCTGTTCTTGTAGAGATCTCCCAGGAAGAGGCTGTTGATCAGCGTGGATTTTCCTAGACCCGACTCTCCAACCACCATCAGCGTGAAGTCGAAGCCCCTCTTCACCGACTTCCTGTGCACCTGATCGGGAAGCGTCGCGAATCCAATGTAATCGCGGTCCCGTTCATCTGAAAACATAGAAGAAATAACCCATGCATTCAATCATAGTAAGTTTATCACAATTTCATTACGATTCAACGCGTTTGCCATACGAAAATCTAGTGGGCGTAGTAGATATCAAATGGACGCGAGATGACAGATGCAGATTATTATAAATTCTCGAAAGGAATTCCGAATCAGCGAATTTATTTCATTCGACGTATTATTTATTTTATATGGGCAAAGCAGCAGCAGCCGCCCGTTTCGTTTCGTTATTCATTATTATGTATCGCTGCATTGAATTTGTTTCCTTGAAAACGCGATAATATTCAGAGATTAGGCGAAATATTTTCGCGGCGGCTGCGAAATGTAAAAGTTGTTTTTTCGTTTGTTTGTTTGTTATTGTTTGTCATCTGTTATTTTCCGGAAAGGATTGTTTTGCGCCACCCTCACTTTTGACCTCCACTCAACCCACCCCCCACAATTAATTCATATACTAATCTTCTCGTTGAGCCCATTTATTTTCAACAGCAATTGAATAATTGACGACAATTTTACAATTAACTAATGATGATGACTTAGTCTTTGTTTTGATTGCACATTAAATTTATGATTTCCTCCAGTTCTCAATCCATTTTCAAATGTTGTTTTCGGTTCCATTTGCACTGTTGATTTGTTTTCGTTGCGTTATATAAACATAATGAATATATGCGAGTGAATGAGCGAGAGAGAGACTCATAAGCACTTAAGATATACACGTATAATTAGAGTGAGCGTTGAGAAAAAAAAAACAAAAAGATAAAAACAAACAAGTGCAATTGATTAAAATTAAAGTCGTTTTCGTTCGTTGCGTTCTAATAAACGGCCTTGGTTTGGTGGGTCGCGCATTCCCCGATTATCTAATAATATTAACACGTTACTAAGTAATTGTATCAATCAATTGTTTGAAATGTTATAGAAGCGAATAGAGTGCGTTTCCAACTCACCGCCCATCTTTTGTTTTGCAGGTATTGTGGTTCACTTGTTCCTTGTTCCGGTCGCGCGGCGAAGGTGGTTGATGCACTCGCAACTGCTGCTGGGCGAACTGTGTCTAGGTGGTGAGCGTTTTCATTACAGAAGTAACCGATGCCGTCGTCGCTGCCGCTGCGAACTGTGTAATTTCAGTTGCGATTGCCATTCGAAAACTGAATGACACTGAGTAGAAGTCGCGAATAGGTGAGGACGGGCGGCGGTGACGGATCGTTTTGCTTGCAATGCATCAAACGCCGCTCTCCTCCTTTACTCCACAACACTTTTATTTGGGTTCTCATGCGCCGCGACGCCGATCAATATTACACAGAGATCCAGGGAAAATCCCCCTGAAAACCAAACCACGCTTGCGCCTTCGCCGCGCTGCAATCAATCTTCTTTCAATTCATTTCCAATCTCTCTCACCCTTTTCCATTTCTTTTTGGAGCATTCAATTCAATATACACACTTACAGCAGCAGCAACTCAAGCGGTTCAATTACGTCGTAACTGTTGTTAAATTGAAATTACAAACATTCCGCAACGAGAACATTTCAAATTACACCCGTACACTCCTTTGTGTATCTAATATTCGTAATAGTTAACATTCTTGTTTCAATACATGAAACATCTGTTTAGTTAACGAGATATTAGTTTTTGCAGCATTCCAATTCGAATTATAAATAGGCTTTAGTATAGATACATAAAAGGATGTTAGAGCAATTACAAAGTTTAAAATGTTTAAATAATACCAACTTTTCCAAAGCGTCGAACAGCAATCGTGCCAACCCAATGCGATCATAACAAGAATTTACACACACACATGAGTCGTCGGTATTTCCTATAATTACATAAACGCAGAGATAAGGCAAATGTGTTTTTCGTGTCAGAGATAGGCGATGGCATCGTTAATGCGATACCTACCCAATTCGCTATCCAATAAACTCACGGCCACTTATTTCAAACGTGAGTTTAATGTGTTTATGTTTTTGCCTATTACATTATTATTAATTTCATTGCTAGTGTCAACTTTGAGTCAGCTGGGATTCAGGGGAACGCACAGTTCGCAGTCGACGATCGATTTGGACAAGATGAAGATCCACATTCTGCCTGCCCTCACCGACAATTACATGTATCTGGTAAATTTGGTGTAAGATTCAATTGAATGCATCTCGATTGATTGATCGAATGTTTCTTATTAGATTGTCGATGAGAAGACCAAGCAGGCTGCTGTTGTTGATCCTGTTGCACCCGAGACCGTCCTGCAGGCTGTCAATGCTCATGGAGTTAACTTGACCAAAGTGCTGACAACACATCATCATTGGTATGATTTTGTTTTAGTTGATCGATTATCTTATTTGGATTAATTATTGGCTTTGTCTGTAGGGATCATGCTGGTGGTAATGAGGATTTGGTGAAGAAGTGCAAGAACAGTTTGGACGTGTTCGGCGGTGACGACAGGATCGGAGCGATGACCACGAAGGTTAAGCACGGCGATAAGTTCAAGATCGGCGACATCGACGTCGAGTGCATCTTCACGCCGTGCCACACGAGCGGACACATCTGCTACTATCTGACGACGACGTCGGGATCGGAGGTGGAAACTCCACCAGTCGTCTTCACCGGCGACACCTTGTTCATTGCAGGGTGCGGCCGCTTCTTCGAGGGAACCGCCGACGAGATGTACTCGGCCCTGATCGAGAAGCTGTCCAAGTTGCCCGACGAGACGCGAGTGTTCTGCGGGCACGAATACACGCAGCAGAATTTGCGTTTCGCCAAGTTCGTCGAATCTGAGAATGCGGATATCGACGCGAAAATCGAATGGGCGGCGAGGATGAGGGGTAAAGGTGAGCCGACCGTCCCGTCGACCATCGGCGAAGAGAAACGCATCAATCCGTTCATGAGGGTCAACGAAGCGGCTGTTCAATCGCACGCAAATTGCGGTCAAGATCCGCGCAAAACCATGCAGATCATCCGCAAAGAAAAGGATAGCTTCTAAATTTGATACTATATTTACACGTTTTATATACTTATAATTTAGAGAGGGCGGGAATTCTTTTATACACATATTATTTACACTCAAAAAAAAAGAAGAAAATCACTTCTTCATATTGTACTCGGACATTTCAACCGCGTACTTTTCCTTGGATCGCTCGTACATGTCCACGTAGATCTGCAAAAAATTAACATTTGTACAATTTGTAATAATTTTTAAGGTTTTAATGATAATAATACCTGTTTATCAGCTGTTGAAAGACTCCTCCATTTGATGGCCAACTGCCTCGTCAGTTCCTGCTTGGTCGGTTCGACCTCACCCGGTTTCAGTTCCGCCATGATCTGTCCCAAAAGCACCTGCCTCTGATCCTGACAGAACTGGAAGAACGGATTCGACGGTCTCTTCGGAGCGTTCGGATCCTTCTCGCTCTTATTGCTTTTCCGTTTCTTCTTTACAGGTTTCGCTGCGGCTACACTCTGCTGTGGAGGTGGTGGTGGTGGCTTTGGCGGCAGTTGTTGCGACCTCTCCTCCACAACCGTCGTCGCCGCCTCCTCCTTAACCGAATGGGCGGATTCCTCTTTGACAGTCGCAAAGTGATTGGTCGTCTCGCTCAGACTCGTCGCCTCCTCATCCTCCAATTTGATTTTCTTCTCCGGAATCTCCGTCCAATCCTCCCCATATTTGCTCATCAGTTTATCCTTCATGTACTTGACCTGCTCGAACCTCCTCTGACTGATCTTCTTGACCTCCTCTATCCTGTACACTAGTCTCTCGTTACTCTTCTGGATGTTCTCGCATTCAGCGAGCAGCAGTTTGTACTTCTTGTAGTACACGTTATTCTCGTGGTTGCTCTCCACGTAGGCCCCGTCGTTTTCAGAGTCATCGGACATCATTTTGATAACGCGATCTTTTCTTTTTTTTGCTTCTTCTTCACATATTTCTACAAAAAAACCAAACGAATCAATCTAATGTTTACTTGTTTTCAATTTCTAGGTTATCTCACCGGAATGCCACGGTCATATTTAAGCGGCGTGCGATTCGACGGACATATCACCTGCACACCTTCCTCGAAAACAACGTCCTTGAGAAAACGCGTCGGCCCCGAAGATTTCGCATCCAAGACGGCGCAATTTATTGATAAACAAAACACAAACAAACCGAAGACCTGCGAATGACAGTTAATCAGGCAACTGGAGTTGCATCATTATCCATCATCTCTGGAGTATAGACAACCCTTTCAACAGATACGTACGTAAGATTTTCTCGAAAACTATAATACATAGAATGAATCCAAAAGATGCATATGAAAGCTGAATGTTTGGGGAATCTAGAAAGTATCGATATATTACTGTGGTTTTAGCTGTTTGGCTGTAATTCGTGTTCAAAATTTAAAAAATGCTCGAAAAAACAGTGTTTTCACATTTCATTGATTTTCTCTTTGATTATAATAGATAGAATGAATCCAAAAGATGC